GTTTGACTCCCTCTCTGCAAACCATTAATCACTCGAACCACTCTGCCTTGGCAGAGATCTGTGATCATCCTGGGGACCTTCTGCTTGCCCCTGCCGGGGATCTGGTGCTTTGCTGCTCGTGCTGGCGGCTGGAGCTGGATTTCCTCTTTCCTGTGGCACAGACACCGCCTGCTCCACGTTTGCATTGCCTCTTCCTGGGTTGTAGAGGCTTAAAAAAACCCCCCACCATTCCATCTGCAGTGAAGGCAGATGAAGGATCCTTGTCGGGGATCTCTGCAGAGCCAGCCAAGGCTGGGAGGATGATCCCTGGATGAGCACAGCCAGCTCCCCGTGACAGACTCCAGAGGGGTTTGGGGGCATTTCAAAGCTCCCAGAGCTGTGCCTGTGCTGGCTGCTCACACAGACACGGATTTCTCAGCAGATCTGGGGCCCACCCGCTCTCAGTCCTGCAGGTAAATTAAGGAAGCAACATAAAAGCTTTCCCAGTGCCGGTTTTGCCTAATGCAAGGCTTGTGGGTGAGATGCTGCATAAATGCACAAAAACCACCTGCAAGTCCTGTTACAGCTACAAGGCGATCAGATTCGACTTGCTGATGTTTATAAAGCTCTTCTTCACCCTTTTCTGGGCTTTGCCCACAGTTCCCCTCCGAGTGGGGGGAGAAACTCAGGCAAAACCTTTCTGCTCACTCAGCACAATCCAGCCCCGTGCTCAGACAACGACTTCCCCTTGACTCTGTAATTTAAATTCTGTGCTTCAGCTGCCTAATCTACAAAAAAAGGGCCCCCACCTCCTCTGACAGGCGCCTGGCAAATCAGGGGCTGCAAACCGAAACGCACCATTTCTGACAGATCGCAGAAATCCCCCCCCATTCCACAGGAAACCCTCCAGCCAAGCAAAACAGGGGCTCTACCCACTTGCTTGAGTCAACACGTTCCCTTCCACTGAGGTTCTGTCCCACTTGGCTGCCCTTCAGCCCCGGGGCTTCCACCCTTTTGCTGATGCTCCTTTTTTTTTTTCTCCACGAGTGCCCACCCAACCCACCCACCCACCCCTGGTGCTCCTGCAGCCTCACGCAACACCGGGAAGGGACAACGGGCACAAACACGGGTGCACCCACAGCAAACACCCCCACAGGATCACACACCAGACAGCAAACGTGTGTTTGACTAAGAAAAGCAAACAGAAACCAGCTCCCTCCTCCTGCCCACAGGTAACCCTGTCACAGGAGGGGCTGAAGTGACACTGGAGAGGCCCGAGCTGCTCACAGGAGATCCTGTTGCTATGAGATGGAGTTCCCCTCCCTCCACAGTCAGACCCCACCAGCTGGAGTTCACTCCACTGCCACCCCTTTCCTGCTAAACAAACCAGGGGGAAACAACCCCCCAGCAGCCAAACCAGCTCTTTAGGAGGGGGTTTAACCCTCACAGAGCCAGGCTGGGCCCTGCAGTGGGGGCTGGCAGGCTGCTGGGCTGCTGTCCTTTGTCCTGCTGTCCCTGCCAGAGCTCCCAAACCTCCCCACCCAGGCAGCACCACAGTGCTGAAACAAACCCTCTGATGGTGCTTAATTAGAGCCTTTGAATCTGGGCATTCCAGAGCGTCCCATTAATGGCCGGGAGGAGGTTAACGTGAGAGGAAAGCCTCAAAATTTCACCCAGAAGTGGAGGAGCACCCCAAGCAAAGCGCTGGAGAGCTTTAATACCCACATTTTCCACCGAATGTGGGCTTTGCCCTGCTCTGTGAACCCCTCAGCACACACTGAGAGCACCTCAAGGAGCAGCGCCGTGTGGTGGATCCAGAGTCACCTTCTCCCAGCGCTGCAGCTCAGCCCCAAGGTGTGAGACTTGAGCTTCCTGCACCCACAGCCACGTGAAAACGGGGAGGGAGGGGAAAGTCTCCTTTAAAGTTCACATCCCTGGCACTTTCACTCACGGAACAGGAGGCAGATGCAAATGCAGAGACAGCCCTTCCCATCACCAGAGATGCAGAATTGTGGGCGTCCCTGACAGATGAAGAAAAGCACTGGAAGGGAAAAATGTCCTGAAAGCGAGGAAAGGAGGGAAACACGAGTAACGAGCAGGTTCCAGGTTTCCCACAGCTCCGTGACCCAATTCTCAGCTGATACACAGTTATTGCTACTTGAACATTCTTACTCAGAGGCAGCGACACCGACCCCTCTGTGGGGGGACGGGGGTCTCTCCAAGTTCACATTTGGGTGGAACGTTCTTCCCACCGACAGGAGACGACTGAAGAAACAAACGAGCTGGAATCAAAACCATCTCTGAGGCCCAAGACTTACAGTGAGATGTCGATTACTGAGCAATTCCCGTTTCCTGAGGCACGTCCCCCCCCTGCTTCACTCAGACGCTTCCGATGCACCCCGGGCGGGGGGGACGACTGTTCCTTCCACACCGACCACGAGGAATAATCCAGAGGTACAATCAGTCCTGCTGCTCTGACTGCACAGGCTGTTCCTCTGAGGGAGCCCATCACTGCAAACTCCTGATTTCTATTTCCAGCATACATTACACGCTAATCCCGCTCCACTTTGCATCCCGCCTGCTGACGCGGCACCTCCGCGAGCAGGACGCCAGATAACATTTTAATATACTGTATTTCCCCCCCTGTTTTGTCATAAATTCTCGGCTCTGGGGTGGTTGATGGGAACGCAGCCCTGCATTGAAACTCCCTGCAAGGCTCAGCACGCAGCAGCCTGTGTTCCCAGGCAGCATTCCCTGCACCTGGAGCCAGGTACTCCCTGCTGTCACATCATCCATCAGGGACACAGCCACCTCCAGCCCCTGCTGGCAGGGACCCCAGGCTGCTCCCTGCAGCTGCAGGTCCCCCTCCTCTCCCCAAAACAGCCCAAAAAAAACCCGACAGAAACATTTACACTGTCAACAGTGAGGCCCAGGGACAAATAAAGCTGCAACAAGGGGGTGGGAAAAAAAAAAAAGGGATCGAGTGTTCTTATCTGAGCAGTTACACAGGGAGCCCTGCTGCCATTTTTAATAAAATGCTTCTATTCAATATTGTTTACTGTCAACAGCCCTTGGTTATTCTCAGCTGAACAATGCACACACAGCCCTGGAAATCCCTCAGCTTAAGCCTCAAACTGGGGCGTTATTTTTCAACAACTCCACCATGACATTACCTTACTCCCCTTCCCAGGTCAGACCTCAGCCACCTCAGCAGCAACAACAGCCCCTGAAATACGTCCCCAAAATTCTGAAATACGTCACCCAAAATTCTTTGTACTCACACGGGGGTGTGTGGGGTTTTTTTTTTCTGTCAGAAAAAGTGATTTGCACAAACAAATCCTCGGCACGCACGTTAAGAAATCCGAGTATTAAACCCACAAAAGGGGGGCAGTGGATTTAATATTGGGAAAATTACTTACATAAGCCACAAAACTTCACTCTGTGGCACTGAAGTTGGAGGCATTTGAGGAGCTCCTTAAAGATTAGGGGGATGCCACAGCAGCCCGTCCAGCAACAGCAGCTCATTTATTTCCAAGTTTGCAGCACAATCCATCCCAGTGCCACGAGAAACAAACTTCAGAAAATGCTTAAAACGCTCAGGGAATTCTCCAAAAAGCATAAACCCCCTGCTTGGTGCTGCATTTTGAGCAGCAGGGGAGACAGTCCCTCAGTGCTTTGTTATCACAGGGTCCCCCCCAGACCCAACACCAGACACCTCATCGCTCTAGCTCAGCGTTTGCTGAAGGTAAATCCGAAAAACCCTTCACCCAAACCCCAACCAGCCCAAAAACAGGGGTTTAACTCCAGCCAAGCCGTGCCAGGAAAGCAGTGCCATGGCCTTCTCAGCTGGCAGAACCTCCAGTGCCAGCGTGGGCAGCCCCCAGCTCAGGGAGTGAATTCCTCATCTCCAAAGGGTGAATAAGTGTCTTTTATGCCCTTTTATGCTCTGGGATAAGCAGAGCAAAAGCAGGACGTTCCTGCAACTTCATTTTTTCTTAATTTTTTAATGCTAACAGAGACATGGATGGTCCTCGTAGGGTCCCTTCCAGCTCAGGATATTCTGACTCTTGTGATTATCCCAGCCAGGGAATGGACCCTCCTGAGAAGCCGCTGATTTTGGCATCGAGCTCCGTGCCCTGACAGAGGGAGGAAAATTAAAGATATGCAAATCTGAGCTACCTGCTCTGCAACCTTCCCCCACCTCCCCCCCGCCTCAGCTCCATCCCGCAAGGGAGGCTCACAACAAAGCTGCACCGAGAGCAGCATTTGAAACGCTGGGAAACAAAGACGAACCCATGGCAAAAAAACAAAAAAAAAACCCAAAAAACCGAAAAAACACCAAAAAAAAAAAGCCAAGCAAAAAAAAAAAAAAAAAAAAAAAAAAAAAAAAAAAAAAAAAAAAAAAAAAAAAAAAAAAAAAAAAAAAAAAAAAAAAAAAAAGCGCATGCTCTGAAGAGATTATGGCAAAAAAAAAAAAATGAACTTATTCAGAAAGTGGGAAGAACACGGGGTTTGTCTCCGTTGTGTGCCCGAAGTTCCTGCGGCTCCCCCGCCCCAGAACGGGCTGTCCCGGGGGTCTCCCCCTCCCGCCCCGCATCCTCAGCTCGGGAACGATGGGGAAGAGGCCAAGGGGAGGAAAAAAAACCCTCCCGGGGTGGATGGGGAAGGGGGGATCGGGTCACCCGGCCGGGACCAGCAAAAGGCTCCCAGCAGGGTTCGCAGATTGGGGGTTGTTGGGGGGTCCCCCCGGGGTCAGGAAGGTCCGCCCGGGGTCGGGGGACTCACTCGGGGGGTCCCCTGGGGGTCAGTCCGGGGGTCAGTCAGAGGGTCCCCGGGGGATCCCTCCCCCCCCTCAGACGATGCTCCCAGCGCGGGGGTCCCCCCCGAGGGGTCAGTCGGGAGGGTCCCCCCAGACACGACCCCAACCCGCAGCCCCCGGCGCTTCCTCCCTCCTTCCCCCCCCGCCGCCACCTCCCCGGCCACATTCCCCCACCCTCTCCCGCAGCTCCCCCCTCGCTCACCTTCCGAGAGCTCCAGCTCCAGCTCGGCCAGCTGCTCGCGGACCTCGCGGGGCAGCGAGGAGACGCCCGCGGGCGCGGGCTCCGCCATGGCGGCGGGGCAGGGCAGGGCAGGGCAGGGCAGGGCCGGGGGGGGGGGGGGGGGGGGGGGGGGGGGGGGGGGGGGGGGGGGGGGGGGGGGGGGGGGGGGGGGGGGG